ATTGTCCCAGTTTACACCTTGAGAGAGGTTCCTGGCCAAGGCACAGAAAGGGAGAACCCAAGTGGAGTCCAGTAGACACCCTGAGTTGAAGAGATGGAGGTGAGATTCCAGGAAGACCAAGGTGATTGCAGTTCAGAGAGGAGAGAGCCGAACTACACAGAGAGAACTCTGTCCCTTCAAGTATTCAGAAGAGTATCGATCAGCGCATGAATGTGATGAAACTGCTAACAGCCAAGAAAACCATCTGGGTGATTAAAAGGAACAGTTCCTGATATAAAAAAAATAAAACCCAAACCCACTGCCATCAAGTCAATTCTGACTCATGGCAACCTTACTGGTTAGAATAGAGAACAGAGAACTGCTCCATTGGGTTTCCAAGGCTGTAAATCTTTACAGAAACAGACTGCCTCATTCTCCCACAGAATGGCTGGTGGATTCGAACCACTCAACTTGTGATTAAACCAAACCAAACCATACTCACTGCCATCAAGTTGGATCCAACTCATAGCGATCCCTCCTTGGGTTTCCGAGGCAAACCTGGAAAACCTCATAATTCTAGGAGAAGTGGGGAGAATACTCAGAAAGGTCTTGTCTCATATTAAATGTTTCTGTGATCTTGCCTAACAAATCTTAAAAGCAATCCAAAAGAATCAAACTGTTCCCAAGTAATTTAAATGCATCCCAGAACAAAGCTCAAGGATATTTATTCACAATGTCTTACATCCAATCAAAGATTACCAGGTATGCAAAGAAGTGGGGGAAAAAAAAAAAACCTCATGATAAGGAGAAAAATAAACTAACTGAAACCAAGAACTGACAGAAATATTAGACAAGGGTATTAAAACAGTTATTAATACTATATTTCCAACATTTAAAGAAAAAGTAGAGACATGGAAGATAAAAAAAGATTCAAATCAAACTTCTAGAGATTAAAAACTATAGTGCCCAAGATGGCAAATAGGCTGGATGAGATTAATGCTAAGTTAGACATTGAAAAGATCAGTGAACTTGAAGACACAGCAGTAGAAGTTATCCAAGATAAAATATAAAGAATTTGAAATTCTGTCCCATTTTTATTCTTCTACAGAATCTTTGATCCAATTTTATCTGTAGAAGAGTCTTTGATCAAAATGTTCAGTAATGGTATTGGCTATAATCTTTATAAGCAGATCACCAGGTCTTTCTCTCATGGAGTGGCCAGTGGGTTGAAACTGCAGACCTTTTGGTTAGCAGCCAAGCCCTTAGCCATTGCACCCCAGGCAGCAATGTATGAGATTGCCTGTTTCCCCCGCAGTCTCTCACCAACAAACTATGTTGTTAAATGTTTGGATCTTGCCAATATAAGTGAGAAATGGAAGCTCAGTAGTTTAATATGCATTTTTAAAATTATGAGCAGAAGAAGAGCATGTTTCCATGAGGTTGTGAGTCATTTGTATTAATAATCCTGAAAACTATCTATTCATTTATTCAGCCCATTTTTCTATAGGTTGGCTAACCATTGTCTTTTCTGTTTGAAAAGCCCTTTATATTTTAGGAATATTTGACAGTAATATGGTACATATATTTCTTCCTCAGGTTAACATTGTCAGATTTGTTTATTTTGTATTTTTTTTGTGGCAGGGGACTGGGCTACAATTTTTTATTTTTAAATCAAATTTACAAATCTTTTACTTGATGTTTCTGAATTTTGAGAGATAACTGGGAAGGTGTTCTACACATATAATAAGAAATCCATATCTTTCTAGTACTTGTTCTCATTTTTTAAATTCAGGTTCTTTATCCATTTGGAATTTATCGTTGTGAACAGTGAGAACAAAATCCAGTTTTATCATTTTCCATATGGTTATCCATATGGTTATGCCAACATCTCTTATTTAAAAGTCTACTCTCCCATGCTGTTGTTATATGCCGTTGAGTCGGACCTGACACATGGCGACCCCTCCTTGGGTTTCCGAGGCAGTATCACTACGGAAGTAGATTGCCCATGCTTCCTTCTGAGGAGTGGCTGGTGGGTTTGAACTGCCAGCCTTCTGGTTAGCAGTCAAGTGCCTTAGGCACTATGCTACCAGAACCCTCTCATACACCCCTGATTTTTACTGTATTTCAAATTTCCAATGCAGTTGGGCCTATTTCTGGGTTTTCTATTCCATTCCATGGTCTGTTTGTATTCTTGGGACAGTGTTATGCTGTTTTAATTACAGAGCCTGCTCTCCCTCCTACCTACTTCCATTGCTCTTTTTTTGGGGGGGTTTTCCTCTTTGTTCTTGCTTGACTGTTTTTCTGAATTGACTTTATATTCAACTTGAAGACATGTCTTTAAAGATCTTCAAATATCATCTCCCGCCCCCCCCCCCGGTGAAATGTTCCCAGTTTAACTCTTAAACCGTGAGTTCCAGACTATTGTTTATCCTTGTCTTTTCCATAAGGAAAATGTGGGACTCAGAACCGAACCCATTGGTCCTAAAAACACACAAAAAACTCAATGCCATTGAGTTGATTTCCTACTCTTAGTGACTATAGGGCAGAGTAGAACTGCCCTACATGGTTTCCGAGGCTGTAAACCTTTGTTAGAGCAGACTGCCTCATCTTTCTTCCATAGGGGAGCTGGTGGGTTTGAACCTGTGGCCGAATTCCTTAACCACTGTTCAACCAGAGGTCCTTAACCCATTGGCATAGATGTGATAATGACACGATTCCTTGGCTAAGGTTGATTTTTTAAAAAGTGGTTTAGCAAGAAAGTGAGACATGAGCATCTGGAGGTCTGGAAAGGAAAAAGTTCCAGGGGATTAAAAGAGTGGGGAAGGCAGGCCTCACCTAGATGATGGCGGCCCAGTCAGAGCTGTGGTCTTTCTGAAGGGAGCGGGAGAGGCTTTTCTCCTGTCTGGGTATTTAGGACAGGTGCCTGGCGCTTGACAGTAGTACCCTGTGGCAGAAGGGTCTGGCGTAAGTGGCCTTTCTCCTTACTCTTAGCCCCTACTCATTCTCCTGCTTCTAGCTTCCTGGCCTCTTCACTCTGGTGCCCTTTAAAGCGCCCTTTTCAGCTAAGTCTATGTCATCTCTGAGGAGCTATGATGGAGAAGTGGTTAAAGCGTTCAGCTGCTACCCAAAACAAGGGCGTTGGAAATCACCAGGCCTTCTGCGAGAGAAAGATGAGGCACTCTGCTTCCGCAAAGATTTACAACCATGGAGACCCTATGGGGTAGTTCTTCTCTGTCCTATATGGTTGCTATGAATCAGAATTGACTCCATCGATCGCAGTGGGTTTGGTTTTCCTGACATCTCTGCCTACCTTTGCTTGGTTCCCTCCGCCTAGGTATATTTCCGCCCCCCTCTGCTCTGCAGTTGGTTTGTTCCGTAGGGCTCCGCCCCATTGCGGGGCCGGCCTCCGTAATAACATTAATGTCGGGCCCCTGGGAGGAACTCTGATAGGTAGTGCCTAAGGCACTTGACTGCTAACTAGAAGAGGGGAGGTTTAAACCCCCCAGCCACTCCTCGAAAAGACGGTTGGGCAATCTACTTCTGTAGTGATACTTTCTCAGAAATGGGCCGCCGTTATGAGTCAGGTGCGACTCCAGGGCGCATAGCGACAACAGGAACGGCCCATGGGCAGTGTCTGATGACCCCATGGGCAGTGTCTGATGACGTGTTAACTGAGGCTTAGGGTGAAAAGTGCCAGGGGCCTGGGAAGGCGAAGTTCAACCTGGGTACCCGCCCCCCTGAGCCGAATCCTTTCGGAAGGAGGAAGCAGTGAGAGAGGGTTTCAGTGCCTCAGTGCCGTTTCTTAGGGAAGCGCTGTCTTTGTTCAGCTGCCCCTGCGCAATGGATTCTGTACCTGCTACTGTGCCTTCTGTCAACGTTTCCCCGGGGGACCCGGAGTTTTTGGGACCCTTGTCGGTCCTCTACGCAGCCCTAATAGCAAAGCTACTGGAGGTGACGGGCCCATTCCTGGGGAGGGACCCTAGCTCTGGATGGCGGGTGGATGAGTTCTGAGTAGAATTGGGGGAACGAACTGAAGGGGAGAGGGAAAAATGGAGTGTCAGGCCCGAGGCAGTTAGGACATTTTAATACTGTTTAGGGACACCAGTAGTAATGTATTTGAGGTTTCGTCAAGCGTTTATTTATTACCCAGTACTTACATAATGAGGCGGACATTGTGTTACAGGCTAGTATTAGTCCTGGCAAAACAAAAACCAAGACTGCCGGGGATTTTATTCTGACTTGTAGCAACCCTTATAAACCAAAACCCACTGCCATCGAGTGGAGTCCGACTCATAGCCTCCCTGTGGGACAGAGTAGAAATGCCCCATAGGGTTTCCAAGGTTGTAAATCTTTATGGAAGCGACTGCCTCCTATTTCTCCCATGTAGTGGCTGGTGGGTTGTTACCTCTGATCTTTTGGGTAGTGGCCCAGTGCTTTAACCATACCACCACCAGAGCTGCTTTTGAGTTTTATATAAGACAGTTAAATTCCTAGCAGTCTATCTAGACCAGTTATCTTCAGGAACTGTCTGAACTTAACCTAGCGTGTGTCTTTGTTTATTTAAAAAGTGGAATAGAACTAATGTTAAAAATCTTATGAGGCATCTCACATTATTTGTGTTATTCATTACCAGAATTTTGGTTTTATTTGCAGCCATAAAGTTTAATTACTTCTATAATAAGTGCCAATTTTTTTTGTCTTGTGTGGTTTTTTAAGTAACAAAAAGCAATTTATCCAAAAGAAAAGTGTGAGCTTGAAGAATTCTGGCCATGTGTTAGACAATAGGATGTGATAGGGCCTATTGCAAACTGGATATGTATGCTCAAAGACATTCAGATTCAGAATGTTTAAAAATACTCTTAAGTCAAACAAGGAATATGAGACTGCCAGTTTCTGTTCTTGAAGCACTGAGAGCTGTTGAAGATTTTTGAGGTTAATTTCCAATTTTTATGGATTATTTGTTACTGCTTTATTGTAAATATCTTTACAACTTCCCATTATTTCTAATATTTCTATTTCAGCTAGTTGCTACATTGCCTGATGGTGTTCAGCCTGGGCCTGATTTTTATGGATTGCCATGGAAACCTGTACTTATCACAGCCTTCTTGGGTATTGCTTCATTTGCCATTTTCTTCTGGAGAACTGTCCTTGCTGTGAGTAGAATAAATTAATTAATAGGTATACTTTAATTAGGAGCTCTGGTAGCATAGTGGCTAAAGCACTTGATTGCTAACCAGAAGGCTGGCGGTTCAAACCCACCAGCCACTCCTCGGAAGGAAGGTTGGGCAATCCTACTTCCGTAGTGACACTGCCTCGGAAACCCAAGGAGGGGTCGCTATGAGTCGGGGCCGACTTGACGGCACATAACAACAACACAACATACTTTAATTTATAAGTACAAGGGATGTTACATAATTACTGGCCCTTTTGTTTCTTTCCTAGCATGAGCAGAAATTAATGGTTATAATCCAGGCTAACATTGTAAAATGGCCTAATGTAATCTTTGTTGGTAGACTTCAGCAAATAAGATGGCGTGTATCGAAATCTAATTGGGAAAACTTCAATTTATAAATCCATTATGTGAAAACTTAAAAATGAATGTCAGGTGGGCACATATATACAGTTAGTAGAATCAGGAACTCTTATAGCCACCTAGAAAAGCAGTTTAATAATGTATCAGAAGCTTTGAAAACGTTCATATCATTTTATACAGTATAACATCATGTCTAATAATCCTAAAGAAATCACTGATCATGGATTAAAGATCTACAAGGACATTCACTGGAACAGTATTTATTGCAGTGATAACTTGGCAGCAACCTAAATGATCCATAGTAAGGGAATTGTTCAATTATCTGTGTGGTGGAATAATAGGTATTTTCTAAAAATTATGTTTTTAAAGGCATTAGAGAACAGTAAATGCTCATGATTTAATGTTAAGTGACAAAAAAGGAGAAATCAATACTTTAAAGTGTAGATAAACTATATTATATTTTATATACATAGAAAAAAATGCTGCAAGGAAGTTACCACAAATTTGTTTAAAAAAAAAAAAACATATTTAGAAGATAAGATTATTTTTATTTTTCTTATATATATTTGTTTTCCAGATTTTCTGATTTGATCATGTACTACTATACTCAGAAAATATTTTTATTTAGAAAAAAATAAAATCCATTTGAAGATTATATAGTACCCGAAGACATTATTAAAATTTTTGTTGCTTTGAGTCTTTTTCTTGTGCAATTTATCTTTCATACTTCTGTATATATATATATGGGAGCTTAGGCGTAGTGCCTAAGGCAGTTGACTGCTAACCAGAGGGCTGGCGATTCAAACCCATTAGCCACTCCTCAGAAGGAAGGTTGGGCAATCTACTTCCGAAGAGATACCGCCTTAGAAACCCAAGGAGGGGTCGCTATGAGTCAGAACTGACTTGACGGCAGTGAGTTTGTGTAGGTATATAAATAAATATGTGTATATATATATATACGTATATATGTATACACATACATATATAGACACGTATATATACACATATACATGTATGTACATATGTACATACATGTATATGTATGTATATATATTCATACCTGTACATACTTGTGATTGTACCAGTAGCATGTCATTCTGAGTCTTTATTTTCAGACTCACTCATTTTTTTCCAATTTTACAGACTTTGAAACAATTATATATTTTTTTAAAAAATAACCCACATTAGTAACATGCCCACACATGCAGTGTGCAGCATAGCATGCTTAAGAAAAATGGGGAGGGTTAGGATTTACAACATGTATTTTTTTGGGGGACACAGTTTAATTCATTACAGACCTGATATTCTGGTTAGATTGAAATCATCACTAAGGCATAATTAATATTTATGGTGTTAAGATTTCTGACTCCATGCAAAATAAGCTTGCTTTTATTAAAATGTTATCTTTTACCTTGAGAATGGCCATCTTCAGGTCTCAAGCACATTCAGCCAATCTTTGGATTTGTAATTGAAATTCTCTTTAATAAATAAATCAGGAGATAATAGGTCAGTAGTGTATTGATGACTACCTTAATGTGTCAGTTATCTAACATGATTGTGGAGCAAATTATTTTGTGTAAATTAACTTTGCAGATGAAAAGCTTTTAGTTGAAGCTTAACCAAGTGGCAAAAGCATTGGATACAAATCTTTCTAAAATTGAATATTCATGTTTTGATTTCCTAAGTATTAGATGGAGTTCTGGTAGCATAGTGCCTAAAGCACTTGACTGTTAACCAGAAGGTTGGCGGTTCAAACCCACCAGCCACTCCTCAGAAGGAAGGTTGGGCAATCTACTTCCGTAGTGGTACTGCCTCAGAAACCCAAGGAGGGGTTGCTATGAGTCGTGTCCGACTCGACGGCACATAACAACAACAAGAAGTATATTAGACATATCATTATTAATATGTATTCTCTCCTTGAACAACTGATTTTAAAATAATTTTTAAAAGAAGAGTCTTTTGCCTAGATTTCTATGAGCAGTCTTCTGCCCTCATAGGACTTTCGTTCAGATGAAGAAAAGACAGAGACTAGAAATGGTGAATGGAAGGAGTAAAGCAGGAAACATCATATTTCCCACTCTTGTTTTAGCCATTCAAAAACCTTAACACCTGTTAAGATTTTCACAAGGTTATGCCTGCTGTATGTCCCAACCTTTGTCCTTAACCTCAGTATTTGACTTTTGCAACCCCTAGTTGCATTCTCATCGCTCCTCCTTTCTTCTGCTTGTTGGTTTGGGTGAGAAGGCAAAGGAAGCTTGCCTTCTCAGTAGCAAGGCTGTGACATTAGAAAAATAGTAATTTCTTTCTGAATGTATTTTCCTATAACACTATAAATGGGGTTTAGATACTGAAATAATATTGACGTATCGTGGATGACTTATAGGCTAGTCTGAACATCTGATCACTGCTTGAAAGGGGAAATATATTTTGGCTTACAGAAATTAGTAACACCTCTTTTTGTTTTTTCTTTTTTAAATGGATACTGCTTAAATTTTATTATCCTGTAATTCAGTGATGTCTTTAGGAGATTCAGTCTGTAGAAGAAGCCTTTGCCCTTTCAAGAAGTTGTCCTTTCTGTTGTTGTTTGTGCTTCTTATTGTTTTTTTCTGCCAGCAGTCTTCCCTTTTCTTTCAGATTTAATAACTGATTTTTAGTGTTACTGGTCAGGGAAAATTAGATGGTCTAACTTGTTAGAATTATTTCCAAATTCAGCCATTAGCTACCTTTGAGTAGGATTTCTAAGATGCTGTCTGGTGAGTGGAAGAGTTGTACTTAGTACAAACATTATGTCTTTAATTTTGTTTCCTCAGGGACTTTTTGATCACTGTTTCTAGAACTTATTCTAACTATTTGGGATTGTCAAATAAGTGATTTCAATTAAAAGGTTATTCAGCATATTTATTATGGAAATGTTAGCCATTTCTGTTATTAAAATTAAGTACTCAGTCTATCAAGATTAGTATGCATTTAATAGATACTTATAAACAACTCTTTAGTTACAAAATAAGGTAATTTACCTTGGTGTTTTTCTCAGGAATTTAAAGAAGTATTACTGCCAATTGAATTTGAAATGCTTTTGAATGTTTTTCTTTTTGAGTCCTGTGGATTTATTATGGTGAACCAAACTGCTATAAATTTTCATTTGGTTATGATTTTGACTTAAATTAGGAACTATAGTATTTTATTGATGAAATGTTTTGACATCAAATTTAATTTTACTTCTTTTTCTTCTAGGTAAAGAGTAGAATATATCAAGGTAAAATTTTAAGTTTGCTTTATTTGTATTATTCTTTCTCTTGGTGTTTGATAGGAATTTTATTTAAGCTAGAAGTGCATATATTAACTTCTGATGTCTGATCGCCTTATTAACTCCTATAAATTTTACTATTCTAGCTAGCTTGGATGACAGAGTAGATGGTGGTGCTACCAGCTGAGATAGGAGAACAAATTGTGGGAGTAGAAAGATGATAGTTTAATTTTGGGCAGATTAACTTTGAGGGACCTTTGGGATATTTGGGTAGAATGGTTTAGGAGGCAATTCATTATATGAGTTTAAAATTTGATGAAGGGGGTCTGTCAAGCTTGGTTCTGGAAATATGTGAAGACTAAGAAAACACTCTGCCTATCAAGATGCTTATAACCTAGTAGATGCTACAGATATTACAAGGCAATATATGTATCTCTTAAAAAAAAATTGCCAATAAGTTGAATCCATCTCCTAGTGACTCCATGTGTGTCAAAGTAGAACTGTCTGTGTTCCATAAAATTCTCAATGGTTGATCATTTGGATTCTTCTGAAGTGCTTGTGAGTAGAGTGAAACATCCAACCTTTTGGTTAGCAGCCAAGTGTGTTAACTGTTTGCACTACCCAGGAGTTCTATGTCTCTTAATAGAAGTTTAAATAAAATGTTATGAAGATTTAAGAGGGAAGTGCTGTTAATTCTAGTAGTAAATGAGTAGAAATAATCAGGATGCAAAATGGGGATGATAAGTGCTATTTATACTTCATGGAATGTGATGATTAAATGAGATTGTCTGTAATGGGCTTGGTTGGCTGCTTGCCATGTAATAGATCTCCCCAAACTGGTTTTTATTATAGTGATAGTAACATTGGAGATAATGAGAAGCTTGACCTGAGAGTAGTACATTGGGTAAAATAGAAGGTAAGTTTAGAAATTGAGGTTAAATGATAGGATCCAAGTAGAGGAGTTTCAAATTCTGGGCACTGGTCTAGGTGCTGTACAGATGTTATCTACCTATAAGATCAGTACTTTTATGTGTGGTAGTTGCATGTAAGATGGGTAGGAACAATTGTCTAGATTAGGAGGGAAAAAAAAAAAAACCTCAGGTGTATATAATTCCAAAACTCTTCCTTTTCTGATATAATCATACTAATTCTCTTGAAATTGAATGTGTTGGAGAGTAGAAGGACATTGTTGAAACTCAGAATCATAAAAAGACCAGGCTTACTGATATGATAGAGACTGGTGAAACTCCCGAGAGTATGGCCCCTAATCACTGTTTGGGCCTGGAGCTACACTCTCCACTGAGGCTTCCAGCCAAACAATAGACATATAAGGTGAACATTTATACCAGGTAGGTACACTCCTTAGAACAAGCAACTATGGGAGATCAGAAGGGATGGGCATAGTATTTGCACAGGGAGATAACTCAGAGGGCAGGAATGCATAGGAAAGAAAGACACAGGGAAAAGGTAACCAGGGAGGAAGTGGGAAGAAAGCTGTTACATTATAGAGATTGCAGTCAGTGTCATGAAACAAAACGTGTATGAACTATTGTGTGGAAAATGAATTTCCTCTGTAAACTTCCACCCAAACCACAATAATAAAATTCAAAAAGAAAAAAGATGAGAAGAAAGAAAAAAGAAAGTGTGCTTGTATATTTGAGCTAAAGCAAATGTGGCAAAATGTTTTAAAAATAAGTTACTTCACCAAAATAAGAAAAAGAGTTTATTAAGAAAAGGAAGGAAATCATACATGAAAGGCAATAGGGACCAGCCCCACCCCAAGAAAAGAAAGACATTGTTGGCCTATGAGTAGGACAATTAAATTGCATTTTAGAAGGATGTAGCTTGAAATACAGGAGAACCTGGAGGAGTGAGGTTTTTTAAGAGTGATTTCAGTTATCTCAATGTATTGAGAATAATTACTGGAACTTAGAGAAGAGTAAGAATTGGGGATAAACGTAAAGTGAATTCTGAAAAGTTCTCAGGCCTATGTGATAAGGATGAAATGACTGGTAATTAAAAGACAAGGAGATGAGCGAGTAAGTGACTAAGTAGGAGAAGGAAGAAGAGTGCGTTGTTAAGGGGCATGGATGATAAAAATCAGAGCATGGAAAAAAGTTTGATTTGGAGTTTGAAATAAAATCCCTGTGGAAATGTCCAGTAAGGCACAGTAAGAAATACTGGATTTAAATCTAGATGAAGAGCAAGGCAGAAGAGGTGGATTTGGAAGAAGTGGGAAGAGAAGTGGTAGAGGAGATAGACCTAGCTGAACAGCAGCACATAGGTTGGTGCATGTTGTTTTTCAGATCTTAGAGGAAAATGGGTAAGTCGTATGAATAGTAATAATAAATGCTGAATATTAAACTACCAAAGCATTGATCACAAGTCGGAATTGGCCCAGTGGCACCTCATTAAGCTAATTTAACCTCGATAAATTCATTGTGCAGACAACAACTGCTGTGGTAGTAGAAAAAGCAGGGAGAGTATTTGCTAGACTGATTGTTGTCTACATTGCTCAGCCCTTAAGGCTGATAGCTTTTGGTGTAAGATCTTCTCTTGAGTCATTGGTATTTTGAGAATCAAAGTTATTGTAATTAAAATATGTACTAATTAAAGAGATTTGTGAAAGCTCACTTTTCACAAAAATTTGTTTAGGGCCTACTCCTTGTAGATACCTTGATACTTGCTTAGTATTGAAAATGTTACATTTTGATAGAGAAAAATAACATGTTAGGAGCTCTGGTGGCATAATGCCTAATTCATTTGACTGCTACCAGAAGGTTGGTGGTTTAAACCCACCAGCCACTCCTTGGAAGGAAGACTGGCCAATCTACTTCCATAGTGATACTGCCTTGGACACTCAAGGAGGAGTTGCTGTGAGTTGGACCCGACTCAACAGCAGTGAGTTTGGTGGTTTTTTTTTTTTTTTTTTTAAGCTGATGTTGCTGTAATGCACATTTATTACCTGTGAACAATGTTCCTAAGCTAATGGTTTAATTAAGACATTAAATATTTAAGTAGATAATTTGAGGACTAGAAATATAAGTCAGTTTGCTTGTAGTTTCGGTTTCCCCTTTGCAAATGACATATATTTGAAGCGAGTCTATTTTCTGAGAAGAAAAGTACTTAGTCGAAGAGAGGTATATTGAGCTATAACATTTTTATTTTCTCATCTTTGAAAGGAAATTTAAATTGGAATCTCATTGGAACAAGGATTCCTATTATACTTTTCTTAAATCTTTATATTTTTGTACTTTTATTGCCATGAACCACAGGTTGCTTTTTAAACGTATAATAGTTGTCCTAAGAAGTTCTTTACCCTCCTAATGCCAGGTAACTTGCCTTTGCTGCTAATACGCTGGGCACTTCAGTTTTATTTAATGATCGTAATCTCTTGTGGGTTTTTCCCCCCTTTTAGTTTCTGAACAACAAATTGCTGAGAAGGTGAAGAATTTCACAAAACAAAATGCAGAACTTCTAGAAAAATTGTCAAATTATGAACAGAAGGTATAATTCTTTCAGTTTTTTTGCCTTATAGTTCCAACTTGAATTATTTCATCTGCCTTATACTTAGATTATTATGGTATTTTTAAATTATATTTTCTTACATCATTATTTCTATGAACTATTGGAATCTGAAGCAGTTGTTATACAGTACTGCTTTCTTTTGTAAGGGGTCACACTTGATGACAAGTTTTGATAGCACTGTAATTTCTATTTCTGAATTCTAAATGCTTTTTTATATTTTTTTAGATCAAGGAATCAAATAAATGTGTTCAAGAAACTAAGGAAAAAAATATGCTTCTCTCTGAAAAAGCAATTAAATTTAAGGTAAAACTTTTTTCAGGATTACATTCTTAAAACAAAACTAAAAGTAAGAGTAATTATTATTAATCTTAATATCTTCACTTGTAGGATAAAATCAAGGAACTTGAAGAAACTAATGAAGTTCTGAATGAGAAAGCTAAAAACCTGCGTGTTATGTTAGAATCTGAGAGAGAACAGAATGTCAAGAATCGAGGCTTTGTAAGAGTTTTGCTAAATGATACTGTAATTTGACTTTTGAAATATTTTGCACGTTGGATGAGTTGAACTCTACATTTTCCCATGCTATTAACTAAAGTAATAGTGGGAGTCAAGGAAGTTGAACCTACTTTCACCCATTTTTGTGGAATTAAAAGTACTATCTTATTTTTATTGGTGTAGAAAGTATTTTTTTCCCACAGTCATGGGTAATTTTAACGTTGCTTGACTTTGCTGTTGGAAGTATGTAAAACAACCAAGAAACTATAGCCCAGCTTAAAGAGTCCTACTCTTCAGTTTTTCTTCTGCATATTGTTGTTGTTAGGTGCCTTTGAGTTGGCTCTGACAAATAGCGACCCTGTATACAACAGAATGAAACATTGCCCAGTACTGCACCATCCTCATGATCCTTGTTATGCTTGAGCCCATCATGGCAGCTACTGTGTCAGTCCATCTCATTGAAGGTCTTCCCCTTTTTTGCTGACCCTCTGCTTTACCAAGCATGATATCCTTCTCTAGGGACTGATCCCTTCTGACAACATGACAAAAGTAGGTGAGACAAAATTTGTCCATTCTCGCTTCTAAGGAGCATTCTGGCAAGTCTATGGTATTTTCAGTATTCTTTGCCAACACAATTCAAAGACATCAGTTCTTTGGTCTTCCTTATTCATTGTCCAGCTTTCACAAGTTTATGAGGCTATTGAAAATACCATGGCTTTTGGGTCAGGCACGCTTTAGTCTTCAAAGTGACATCTTTGCTCTTTAGAGGTCCTTTGTAGCACATTTGCCCAGTGCGATATAACATCTGATTTTTTGATTGCTGCTTCTGTGGTCATTGAGCATGGTTCCAAATAAAATGAAATCCTTCACAACTTCAGTCTTTTCTCCATTTATTGTGATGTTGTTTCTTGGTCTGTTTGTAAGGATTTTTGTTTTCTTTATGTTGAGTTGTAATCCATACTGCAGACTGTAGTCTTTGATCTTCATTAGTAAATGCTTCAAGTCATCTTGTCTTTCAGCAAGCAAGGGTGTGTCATCTGCATATCGCAGGTCCAATCCTAATGTCACATTCTTCATATAGTTACCCTGTCAGATTATTTGCTCAGCATACAGATTGAATAAGTATAGTGTAAGGATATAGCCCTGATGCACACCCTTCTTGATTTTAAACCATGAAGTATCCCCTTGTCATGTTCAAAGGACTGCCTCTTAGTCTATGTACAGGTTCCTCATGAGCCCAATGAAGTGTTCTGGAATTCTCATTCTTTGCACTATTAGCCATAATTTGTTATGATCCACACAGTGGATAGTCAAGAAAACATAGGTAAACATCTTTGCATAAACATCTTTCTTGACTTTGCATAGTCAAGAAAACATAGGTAAACATCTTTCTGGTATCCTGTGCTTTCAGCCAAGATCCGTCTGATATCAGCAATAATATCCCTCATTCCATGTCCTCTTCTGAATCCAGCTTGAATTTCTAGCAGTCCCATGTCAATATACTGCTGCAGCCATTTTTGAATTCTATGTAGTTCTTTATGTAGAAGTTGCAAAGAGAGTTCATAGGGTTCCTTCATATTCTGTGCCTAATTAAGCTCAATCACCTAGCGTAGGTAGTGTTTTCCAGGTTTCTCCATTATAAAGTTACTCTGTTTTCTCTCTTTGAATACTGGACTATTTGGAAGGAGGTTACTGTGCACAGTCCACATTTACATAGTGAGGAGTTATTTTCTACCTCCTCGAGGAAGCAGTATGGTCATAAAATTATTTGGAATTCTTCTTTATGGGAGATTTGTCTATTCTTCCTCAAATCCTACCATTTTTTAATTCAGACTGAAGAATTTTCAAAGTGATCTTGGGAATTTTTTTCTCTACCTTTAGGAAAAACCATGAATGTGAACTGTTTTCTTTGAAAGCTTTTCTGTTTGTTTTTTTGCTTTCACCTTTTTGTCTGGTCATCTACCACATTATTTTGTAACCAGGAAGGTTGTAGCCATGAATTATTTTCTTCTCTCCTTGTGTCATTACATTCTTAATTTTTCTCTTAATGTAAAAGGTGAATAACTGGCTATTACTGGAAATATACATGATGACTCTGGCATCTGTTTTGTTAATGTTTTCTTATTTTTAGCATATGTTCTAGTATGTCTATTGAAATCCTAATAAATGATGTTTTCTGTTCTGTTTCTAATGGCAGATACTGGAAAGCCAGAAATCTATAGAGAAGTTAAAAGATGTTATTTCAGTGAATGCCTCAGAATTTTCAGAGGTAAAGTGCCTACAATTTCTTAAGGATCTTAGTACTATTAGATGTCAGTTTTATTGAGGAGTAAACATTTATTATTGCTAGAATATTTTTAAAAATGAAAATTGCTTGATGTCTGGTTGAGTAAGTATAACTTTTAAATTTTTCTTGGGGATTCATTCATTGATAGAAGTATTTTGCATTAGGTTCAAATTGCCCTTAATGAAGCTAAACTTAGTGAAGAAAAGGTGAAGTCTGAATGCCATCGAGTTCAAGAAGAAAATGCTAAGCTTAAAAAGAAGGAGGAACAGGTAAAAAAAGTTAATGTCATAGATTATGTAAACTAGAAAAATGTGTATTATTACCTCTTGAATATCTTTTCTGAGATCCTTTTTTAAAGTAATGAAATACGAATGTAGGATTTGGTTCTTAGATAACGTAAAGGTTAAACTATGACTATCCTATCTCTTCTGGGTTTCTTGCCATTCACAATTTCTAATAGCTATTAGTGTTCAGTCTTTGTCATGTAAGTGACTATGTAAGTGTGGACTGTCAAACATCAACCGAGTATTAACTCAAGTAGCCTTATAGGGGTGATGGATAGACTTTTAGACCAAAAACTTAAGTATTTTATCACTCTTAGGGGACAGTCAGGAGCTCTGGTGGTGTAGTGCCTAAGGCATTTGACTACTAACCAGAGGCTGGCGGTTCAAACCCACCAGCCATGCCCTGGAAGGAAGGTTGGGCGATCTACTTCCGTAGTGATGCCACCTTGGAAACCTAAGGAGGGGTCGCTACAAGTCAGATCTGACTCCATGGCAGTTTGTGTTTGCATTTTACATAGGGGACAGTTATTGCTTCACTGACCAAGAAAAGGTTATATATCTGCAGTTCTCAGCTTGGGAGAGAGTGAGATGTGCCTCTCTGTTCATACTAGAACTGAATATTTGAATTGGCTGCAAAAGGGTTTTTTGGAAGGATGCGATAAACTGGATCAGTGTCCTTGAAAGCTCTCATGTTCTCACTGCATCTCTGAGGTCTGGGGCCACTCTCTTTAGCTAAGTCCTTAGCCCATAGCAACAGGCTAGGGAGGGTATGGCTCCCTACATCCCTGCCACATTCACGTAGTCCTGATGGTCCCCTATGCCATAGCCCTAACTTTTGATAATCTGTGTGTTTTAACTTCAGTTGCAGCAGGAAATCAAAGACTGGAATAAATCACATGCTGAGCTCAGGGAACAAATCAAATCATCTCAGCAGTCTCAGAAAGACTTGGAAATATGTCTTACTCAAAAAGATGATATTATCAATGTAAGTTCATCTCATGAATACAGTTTTAAATTACTTAATTAAAATTGACAGACTCTTTTTGATACATTTTTCCTTCTTTTCTAGGCTTTGACTAATTGCATTACACAGTTGAATTGGTTAGATTGTGAATCTGAAACTGAGGATAAAAATAAAGGAAGAAGTGAGCTTGATGAATTAGCAAACATGGAAATGGGAGGTAAAATCAATCTCAGGAAAGATGGATTCACTTTTATCTTTCAGTCTTTAAGTCACTGATGCTACTTTTCAGCTGCCTGAATTCCCTTTCCATGTTAGAATTGTTGAGGCATATCCCTGGATACACATGCACACACATTTATGTGCATTGGGTAGAGGTGGGTTGCTGGGGTGTGTTTAGCAATGAGCATGCAAAGAACAGTGACTTCTTTATTCCATCCTGTTGAGAATTACATATGGGTGCTAAAATTGGAGCAGCATTAGTCATGTCTTACATGTCAAAGTAGTGAACACTGTAGAATTAGGGTACAGTTGGAGGAGAAACAAAGGTGCTTTGATTGCACAGTAGTTAAGTGCTTGGCTGCTAACTGAAAGGTCAGCGGTTCCAACTCACCAACTCTTCCATGGGAGAAAGATGTGGCAGTCTGTTTTTGTAAAGATTAACTATAGCTTTGGAAATACTATGGGGCAATACTACTCTGTCCCCATGGGTTGCTATAAGTAGAAATCAACTCTACGGCAACAGGTTTGAGGAAGAGAAACTTGTTTCTTAAGTTCATTGAGATGACATTTGATTTTCTTTTTTAAAAATATTTTATTATGTTTTAGTTGAAAGTTTACACAGAAGATTAGGTGCCCCTTTAAGAATTTTTATACGAATTGTTCTGTGCCATTGCTTACAGTTTTCATAGTGTGCAGCATTCTCATTATTTCCATTCTGTTTGTTCTGTTGCCATTGAACTAACTTCCCTTCCCCTCCTTTCCATCTCATCTTTGCTTTTGGGTAAATATTGATGGTTTGGTCTCAATTATTTAAGAGAGAACATTACTCATGAGAAATATTGTTTATTTTGTAAGTTGGTTCATTATTTGGCTGAAAGGTAACCTGTAGAAATAGCTTCAGTAAAAATAGCTGCAGAAGTAGCTTAGGTTGATAGTCTTGGGTTCCTCTAGTCTCTTATCAGTTCAGTAGGTCTGGCCTTTTTTTTAGGAGTTTAAGGTTTGTTCTGCATTTTTCTCCCATTCTGTCTGGGACCTTTTATTGTGTCCCTGACCAGAACAGCTGGTAGTGGTAGCTGAGCACCATCTAGTTCTTCTGGTCTCAGTTAGTAGAGGTTGTGGTTTATGTGGGCTATTTGTCCCATGGATAACATTTGATTTTAATGGTCATTAGTTCTAGCTCTTAACCAGTTATAAGAGTGGTAAAGGTGGGTAGTGGAAGCTATAAAATGACTAAGTCAATGAGAATAGAGGCTGAAGGTTAGCAGTGTTCATTGATGAAGCAACTGCTTCTAGACACCATTTCCCAACTCGGATATCATTTGCAGAATGAGTGTTTTGAACAACACTTGGTAGCAGATTCAGGAGTACATCTTTCTGAATAAGATATTTGCCCAGATGGAGGCAGATTTGGGAAAGAAGAAGGAGTTTTATCTCATGTATCTTTTCTTGTTCAAGAACAGCAGGGGTAACATTTTTATTGTACAAACTGGGAATTCACTTTTTGCATCTAAATTAGCAATTCTCTTTAAAGTCCATTAGCCTAATTAGTCTTGCTGATTAATTTGGTTTTCTTTGAAAGTTTAAACATGATGAGATAATTGTTTAGTATTTTGGAAAGCAAGACAATACAGAGTTTAAAAGGAAGGAAAAGCTAATTAAAATCTTTTGTTTTTTAGGTGACAAGATCGAGAAGATGAAAAATCAAATTAAACAGATGATGGATGTCTCTCGGGTATAACCCTTTTTACAGAGTACCATAAGACTCTGAGTTCTTACCATTACCCACTTTTAAGACTACTTCTCTCTTTTGTAATTTTTAGACACAAACTGCAATATCAGTAGTTGAAGAGGATCTGAAACTTTTGCAACTTAAGCTAAGAGCCTCAATGTCCACTAAATGTGACTTGGAAGGTAAGTTGCTTCTTGAAAAGAAATTGTCACATGTTGGAAATTATTTTGCATTGGAAAGATAAAGGATAGCTTCGTGCTTTCATATTTCTCACCCCTCTCACACCACCACCTCCACCAGGTTCTCAAGTCCATGTGAACACACATACAGCTTAAATGTTTTACCCTTTACAGAGCAAAAAAAGAAGTTACAAGAGGACTGCAGTTCATTACAGTTAACCAGAACTGCACTGGAAGATGAATGTAAAACCCTGCAGCAGAAAGTAGAAATTCTCAATGAGCTTTATCAGCAGAAGGAGATGGCTCTACAAAAGTAAGATCTTCATTTTGTTATTGTTAAAAATAATGTTATATGACAATGTGTGTACTGCATACAATATTTTATCTTTTTAAAAAGAGATTGTTTACAATGTTTTTCCATTTACAATTAGTGCAGATTTGTCTTTTTTCTTTTCTACCTCATTTTCTGTAACTTGTGTTTTTCTTTCCATTCTAACTAGTTGTCGGAAGTTCTTGCCTATAAATTACCTCATGGCGGGGAGTGGATTACAAGTTTTAACAGTTAATCTTGTGGAAATACTTCTTAGCCTATCTGTAAGGAGCTCTGGAACCACAGTGCTTAAGTGGTTGGCTGCTGACAAAAAGGTTGGCAGTTTGAACCCATGCAGCCACTCTGTGGAAGCATTAATTACAGCCAGGAAAACCCTATTGAGCACATTTCTACACTATCACATTTGTCAGAACTGATTTGATCGCACCCAACAACCACCATCCTTTCTGTGGCTTTATCACTTATTTGACTTCCTTTCTTTGTGATTAGTTACTTTTATTTGTCTTCTCTGATGTATTAAGTGGCTCTTAATATGGCTGTGAAAAATCCTGAGAGCTTTGTATGATGTGTTTTAGTGGAATAAAAACTTCTGAAGGAGTCTTTAGTTACTGAAGGTTTCTTAAGTTTTGGACTTATTAACATAGTGAATAGTCAAACTAAACATAATAGAGTTAGTTGCAAGAATGTTGTGAGTTCTGAGTATAGAAATACTTTTATTAATGTTCTGAAATATCTCACAGTTGGTTCAGTATGTTTTGAAAGATAGAATTGCAGTTCATTTTAAGTGTTTTCTCCACAATAATATCTAAATTCTCTGAAAACAGGTTGCCAGTGTTTGTTTTGATACTTTATTTTATTCTTTGGTGGATATGGCAGTCTTTGAGAAAGTCTCTCTTGCCAAAAACAAATGCAGTTTAACCTTTAAGTAGTTAGGCTGCTACTGCATTATGCCATTAAACATGAAAACCAATGCCACTAAATTTTTCTCTGTTGTTGTTGTTGTTGTTATGTGCTGTCGAGTCGGCCCCAACTCATAGCGACCCCTCCTTGGGTTTCCGAGGCAGTATCACTACGGAAGTAGGATTGCCCAGCCTTCCTTCCGAGGAGTGGCTGGTGGGTTTGAACCGCCAGCCTTCTGGTTAGCAGTCAAGTGCTTTAGCCACTATGCTACCAGAGTTCCTAAATTTTTCTCTAGTTTTGTGCTTACTAAGCAGTCAGGTTAGGGTTTCCATATTTTGTTCAGGTCAGTCAATTGCCAGGCCTACTTGAGAGAAACATTTCTCGTGGTGTCACTGTGGTGGTTAATTTTACAGTGTTTTCTCCCCTCCCCTTCCACCTCTGGTAACCAACAAAGTTTTCCTTCCATATATCAACCTTTCCTTGACTTTTTACAATAAGGAACTAATACAGTATTTGTCCTTCTGTAATTGACTTATTTCACTCAGCATAATGTCCTCCAAATTCATACACATTATGAGGTGCTTTGCAGATTCTATGTTGTTCTTTAGTGTTGCATAGTATTCCATTGCGTATCACTGTGTTTTAAAGAGCACTTTTCTGCCCTCACTGGTAATCTGAATTACCTAAATGGCAATTGCTTTTCTCCATGGTACAGTGTAGCATTATTTTATTCAACCCCTCCAATATCCACTCAGTCATCTTGTGTGGTTATTGCTCTACTCTCCATCCCCAAAGCCACTGTATTAGTTCAGGCCCATGCATATCTTTTCTGCTCAAAAACTCACTGCTGTCAAGTTGGATCTGACTTTTAGTGACCCCTCCTTGGGTTTCCAAGTTGGTATCACTACAGAAGTAGATAGCCCAACCTTCCTTCCGAGGAGTGGCTGGTGGGTTTGGATCACCAGCCTTCTGGTTAGCAGTAGATGCTAACAGATGTAGAGAAAATTAATCAGAGTTCAGAAGAAGTTTAAGAAGGGGAAATTGGAGATAAGATGGTCTTGTCTGCTAGTCCCCAATTAATCACCTTATCTCCAGTTTCCCTTCCTTAAACTACTTCTTCTGAATTCTGATTAATTTTCTCTACATCTGCTAGAATGAAGTTTCTAAAATTATGTCCGTGTCATTAGGTGTTTACAGTCTACCAAGGGTGCTCCATGTTCTTCAGGATCAATTCCAGGCTCCTTAGCAAGCACATGCCTGGTACTTCCTCTCAACTGGTCTCGGGCTGCCCTTCCAGGTGCATTGCCTGCCACTCACTCTGATGCTTCCTGAGCTGCAGTCACACTCATAAAGTCTCTTCACGCTAAGTCTCTTTATCTTTATGTATGCTATTTTTCTGTGGTTAAAAATACCCCTACATTCTTCAGTCTTCTGCCTACCTTAAAATCTATTCTGGAGTGAGTTTTGGCACAAATAGGTAAATAACAATAGACATTTACTCATTTTTTTTTTTTTTTTTAAATGAAACTCCTAAATATATCATTGGGTTGAAGTCTGCATATTGGTATTTGCTTTCTGTTTGATGCCCTGTTCCATGTTCCTTTTTCTCTTCTTTCTAATTTTTGGATTGTTTGGATATTTTTAGTTATTCTGCTTTCTCCTTTAAGTTTGGGGGTTATAGATTGCTTTACTTTTTTTGTAATTTTTTCAGTATTCCATTTGGGACCATTTCATTTACTTGAAGAAGAGTGTGCATTCTGTTCCTTAGTGATACATACGGATCAGTGTATCTTTGTATGAAAATGTCTCTATTTTGACTCTCTTTTTAAAGATTCTTCCTGCTGGTTATAAAAATTTGGCAGTTGTTTAATTTCAACATTTTAAAGATAACGAGCTATCTTCTGGTTTTAAAGTCTCTTTGAAGAATCCAGTGTCATTTTTATTTTCCTTTTTTTAAATATCTCACCCCTACCCTTGCTACCTTAATTCATACATCTTTTTGACTTTCAGTTTTATTGAGAGATACCTAGGTGTAAGTTTTGGTGTTGTTTTTTTCCTTTGTCTCTTTCTTTCTCTTTATATCTGTGCTTCTTGGGATCATCACCACCTTTTGAATTTTTTTAGTTAATGCTCTCATACAGTGATTCTGCCTTGTTCTCTCATCTCCTGAGATTCCAGTTAAACATGTTAAACCTTTTTACTATTTCTCCTACATCTTCTACATTCCTAGGTGAATTTGTATCATTCTGGATGTTTTTTCTGACCTGTCTCTCAGTGTATTTCTTAAGTTGTCAAATGTGCTGGTAAAATCATTCATTAAATTTCTTAATTTGGTTATTAAATGTTTCAGTTACCGTGTGTTTCAGTTTCATAATTTCTAATCCTTTGCTGAAATTCGTAATCTTGACTTTGACATCCTTGAATATATAAGGCACAGTTGTTTTAAAGTCTGTGTAGTAATTCTATGATGTTCATCCCTTATGAGCCCATTTCTTTTGTCTTTTCGCATTTTGATCACCATGTCCTCTTTTCATGGACTGCCTGGTCAGTTTAGACTGAGTGGTGAGTGTTACGTATGATAACTGTTGAGGATATTTCAGGTTTGCGTAGTATTCCATTTAGTATATTTAACCAAACATTCAGTCGAGATGTATTGATTATCACTGGTGATTGGAATGCAAAAGTTGGAAACAAAGAAGAATCACTGGTAGTTGGGAAATATGGCTTTGGTGATAGAAATAATGCTGGAGATTGCATGATAGAATTTTGCAAGACCAACGGCTTATTCATTGCAAATACCTTTTTTCAACAACATAAACAGTGGCTGTACATTTGGACTTCAGTACACAGGAATCAGATTGACTATATCTGTGGTAGCATAGTGCCTAAGGCACTTGACTGCTAACCCAGAAGGCTGGCAGTTCAAACCCACCAACCACTCCTCGGAAGGAAGATGGGGCAATCTGCTTCCGTAGTGATACTGCCTTGGAAACCCAAGGAGGGGTCGCTATGAGTTGCGTCCTACTCGACAGCACATAAAACACAACAACGTATCTGTGGAAAGAGGCGATGGACAAGCTCAGTATCTTCAGCCAAAACAAGCCCAAGAGCTGACTGTGGAAAAGACCATCAAGTGCTCATATGCAAATTCAAGTGAAAGCTGCAGACAATTAAAACAAGTCCATGAGAGCCAAAATATGACCTTGCTTATATCCCTTCTGAATTTAGAGACCATCTAAAGAATAGATTTGATGCATTGAACACCAGTGACTGAAAAGCAGAGGAATTGTGGGATGACATGAAGTGCATCATCCTTGAAGGAAGCAGAAGGTCATTAAAAAGACAGGAAAGGAAGAAAAGACCAAAACAGATGTCAGAAGAGACTCTGAAACTTGCCCTTGAATGGAGAGTAGCTAAAGCAAATGGAAGAAATGACAAGATAAAAGAGCTGAACAGAAGATTTCAAAGAGCAGCTTGAGAAGACAAAATCAGTTATTATAATGAAACAAACAAAGACCTGGAGTTAAAAAGCCAAAAGGGAAGAACACGCTCAGCATTTCTCAAGCTGAAAGAAATGAAGAAAAAATTGAAGGCTCGAGTTGCAGTACTGAAAGATTCTATGGGAAAAATACTAAATGATGCAGGAAACATCAAAAGAAGATGGAAGGAATACACAAAATCACTGTACAAAATGAATTGGTCATTGTTCATCCATTTCAGGAGGTGGCATATGATCAAGGACCAATGGTATTGAAGGCAAAAGTTGAAGCTACACTGAAGGTATTGGCAAAGAACAAAGCTCCAAGAATTGACGAGATATCCATTGAGATGTTTCAGTGGATGCCACGCTGGAGGCACTAATTTGTCTATGCCAAGAAATTTGGAAGACAGCTAGCTGGCCAGCTGACTGGAAAAGAAACATATTTGTACCCATTCCAAGGAAAGGTGATCCCACAGAATGTAGAAATGATCGAACATATCACTAATATTGCATGCAAGTAAAATCTTACTGAAGATAATTCAAAAACGGTTGTAGCAGTATACTGACAGAAATTCCAGAAATGCAAGCTGGATTCAGAGGA